CTAACACGGGAGATCACGCGGTGATCAAGGTCAAATCACGAGTGACCAAACAGAACGTGTTCACACAGGGTCGAAAAGGGGTAATTGGGAGGGGGAACCACAGTGATCACGCCTCGAACCGAGGAGAAAGATTTTCTTCACTCTGGTTTCTACACCGTCCGCCAAAATCCCTCCATGTCCAATCGAGTCCGTCTTTCAGTTAATCAGTCATGGCTCTTCCCTACCTACTTAACCCCCGAAACACTGGAGCTAACAGGACTTACAGCAGTACGCCTGCATACCTCCTAGCCTTCCCCCGGGGCTAGTTATATATCTTGCGGAGTGCCAGATTTCATGCGCACGGTCGCAGTACGGACTAATCCGTCCCTACCCACTTCGCAGCTCTCTACAATCCCCATTGGCCATTTTCCACGTCCTGGACAATCTGTAGATACGTTCTCTTTTTAAAAGTTCCGACACTTGTTAAGCCACTTTTGACGAGTTTGTAATATCGGCAAGTACTCTTTCAACCATCGGCTCCAAAACACATTAGCCAAGTAATTTGTCTGCCCATACCTCCTCGAATATCAGTCCTGAATGTTTTCTCCAGTAGACAGACCTTCTCCATCTCGCAGCAGTAACAAGCTGTTGGTTGTCAGCGCCATGTTTTCGCTTTCACTAGAGGCTATCGGCACGATGGGACGACTGTTCAGGGTTCTCTCGACTTCCATGAAATATGTATTCAATTTTTCGTCCGTCAGTCTTTGTTCAGTAGTCACAGCCATAAGGAATCGTCGGACGGAGCGTATAATTCTTTCCCACACGCCACCTCGATGACTACAGGACGGAGGGTTGAAATGCCATTGAATCCCATGGCGCAACAAACGGTCATTTATCTTTCTATCTTCCCACTGTCTCATTCCTCCTCTGAGCTCGGACACCGCACCCACGAAGTTAGTTCCATTGTCACTATATACCTCTACCGGTGTTCCTCGGCGCCCCACAAACCTCATTAGGGCCATTATGAATGAGTCTGTGTCTAGAGTAGCTGCTATCTCCAGGTGAACTGCACGTGTCTGTAGACAGGTGAACAGACAGCCATATCTTTTGTCCGTACCCCTACCTCTGCTTACGCAAAAAGGTCCAAAGTAGTCGGTCCCCACGTGATAAAAGCTGCACCACCCCGTTTGGACCCTGGAGCGGTAGGGTAGCCATCATTTGTCGTCCCGTTGTAGCCGATAGACGTCGACATACTACACATTTCCCGATTACACGTCTTACAGCCGAGTTGCCCTTCACTATCCAATATTTCCTCCTTAGGGATGCCAGAACGTGTAAAGTACCTGAATGCCCTTCGATGCTATGGTAGTGTCGTTTGATGAGTTCCGACATGGGATGACGATTTGGAAGGATGATCGGATGTTTGAATGCAATTGGGTAATTGGAATATCCCAGACGTCCACCCGCACAGAGTAGACCGTTCAGCACAATTGGACAGAGTTTATGTACAGATCCAAACCTATCCGCGTCTTCCGCATTTGTTTTGAGCGATTTCTCTTCCAGGTAAACCTTCCTTTGCACAATCTTGAAGATATTAATTTCGGCCTCAGATATCTCTCGCATGGTTATTTTCCCGTGTGATAGGCACTCACCCAAATGGTGCAATTTTTGAACCCGGAGATATAAGACGAAGCTTGTCAGCCAGACTACCGCCTTGGTGGGTCGCCACCAGTCTGAATAGTGATAGAAGAGCGGGTTGAACGCATGAGTGGCCATAGTTGCGTTTATGTGTGCAGTCCGTTTTATTTCGATGCCCTCTGGGATAGCGTCCCACGGTAGCTCCTCCGGGGAAGTGATCGGTCAATCCTGTTGGAACGTAGGTCCCTTCAACCACTCTTCCAGGTCTTTCTCATTGTATATACCTCTCAAAGTCCAGTCTGCGGAGCTCTCCTCCGACTTTACATGCGCACACTGACTAGGAGAAGAAAGTTGATGGATTAAACCGATTTGGTTGGCCACGAATGTACTGAATCAAGTATTCGTGTTCTTTATGTAGTGGAGTACAATCATAGAGTCTGTCCAGAATCGAACCTCATCGAAAAAATTTGACAGACTCCTTCTCAGTATACAACAGATGCGCGCGCCCAACGCAGTCGCTGCTAGCTCCTTTCGAGGTATAGTCAATCGTTTAATGGGTGCCACCCTCGATTTACTGTAGAGCAATACACAATAGGGGGAACTTCCCTTAGGGGTGCGCCGGACACACGCAACTGCACCATTGCCGGATTCCGAAGCGTCGAAAAATATATGCAGTTTGGTTTTCCCCGTCTGCTGCGGATCCTCTTTGCGTATAGCCCTTGGAATGCTGATTTTCCCGAGTCGACAAGTGAACGCTATCCACTCATTCCACAAGCGAGAATACTCGGACGTCAGCGGCTGCTCCCAACTTAACTGGGCTTTACACAGGCGTTGTAACAATTGTTTAGCAGGCAGGCATAGTAATGCGATTAATCCCAGGGGGTCGAACATGGAGGCCACGGTCGATAATATGCCTCTCCGGGTTTTGGTAGTAGAAGTTGTTTTGAAGCACAAAACGATTACGTCTTCAATCGTATTCCACTCCAGGCCCAACGCTCATTTTGGAGTATCAACCGGGAAAGGGACCTGTACTGTGCTGTCTGCTACCCCGGAATCTGGGAGGAAGTTCATCACCACCGGCAAGTTCGATATCCACTTTCTCAAATTAAACCCTCCTCGGAGTAACATCTCGCTTATCTCTCTCGTAAAAAGAGATGCTTGTTCGCTGGACGTAAACGATATAAGACAATCGTCGACGTAAACGTTGTTTTCTATCGCCTTAGAGACTGACCGATCGTAGAACACCCCAAAGGTTGAGGCGGTTTTGCGCAGCGCGAAGTTAGAACAGAAGGGGGGGATGACGTAGTACCAAGCGGATGCCAGACCATTTGGAACTCTTTAATTTGTTCGTTCATATCTCCTCCTGTCCAACAGAGGAAACGTAATGCACCTCTGTCTTCCTCCGGCACTTTGACCTGCATAAACATCTCCTCAATATCGGCCATCAACGCGATACGCTCCTTGCGAAACCGGAGGAGTATTGAGACAAAGTTCGCCGTGATGTCAGGTCCTTGTAGCACCATGCTGTTCAATGAACTGCCCATGTGATTGGCGGCACAGTCTAATACTATACGGATCTTATCCGGATTCTTTGAGTTGATTACGGCGTGGTGCGGTAGATACCACTTCGGCTGATATTCCTCGTGAAGCTTGTAGGCGGGCACCGGGGACGCATACCCCTTATCGATCATTAGTTTCATTGCCTTGGCGTACCTGTTTCGTAGAGTTTCGTCACGTGTCAAACGGCCCTTAAGTTGATTCAAACGGACCAATACTGATTCATAATTTCCGGAGCCGGTATTGGCGCCTCTTTCCCACAGAAGAGGCACTTCGAAATGACCCCCGATAAACTGCGTTCCGTTTTCTACTATCCGGAGGGCTTCCGCATCTTCCACTGATGGAGCTTGGTCTACCGAATGTAGATCTGAGAATTCCGTGTCGTATATCCTCTGCAGCACGTCCATTGGCACCAGGCTCTCTCCAGTAGCACACTTAACTGACCTTGACTAATATGTCTTTGGCTCGTGGGTCCGAATATAAACCAGCCAAGTGGAGTACGAACAGCATAGGGACATTTCCGACCACCTAATCTCTTTTCCAGCGTCCAGTGAGCTTCGGGTACATCGCAGCCAATCAGCAGCAGGACATCTCCTGCTACTTCCTCGACAGTAATATCATCCAAATGAGGTCAAACTTCGGTCTTTTGTCGAACAAGTACGGTGGGCTTCCTTACGGGTAGTTTGTCTACTACTACCGCATTATCAATGTAGATAGATTCCGAGAGATCTAAGGAGAGTAATTCAAAACCCGTTTCAGTTATGGGAGCGCTTCTGGAGCCTGCTACGGTTTTCACAATCGCCGAAGTTTGTTGCAGGCTCAAACTCAACCGCTGTGCTATATTTGCCTTGATAAGTGTTATGTCAGACCCTGTGTCCAAGAGTGCATAACCCACGGTTTCTCTCTCGCCAACCTGCAGTCTCAATGGCAATATACCTGAGCACACCTCATTTGATCGTAAGCTCGTAGCGGCACTGTGACTTTCTTTTGCGTCAGGTCCCTCATGACCTTCTGTCCATCGTATCTTGTGTAGTAGGCTATGATGATGACCATTACAGGCTGGAGTGGCACATGTGGTTTTTGATTTACACTCCCTAGCTCGATGGTTTTCCCGTAGACACACAAAGCATACTCCCATCCTCTTTGCTTCAGACCATCGCTCGGATACTGGCAGACTAAAGAATTTCTGAAAAGATGAGAGAGGATGCTCACCCACACACGTGACGCATCTGTTAGTGNACTGTTGAGCCTGTTAGTCGCTTGGCCTTGCTCAGCTAACTGCCCGAAGCAGCTACGTGCAATCCTCGCCCTTGACGAAACGAAATCTACCAATTTTTCAAAGGGTGGCTCGCGTCCATTCA